GGGGCATCTACCACCTCTCTGGGCAACCTGGGCCAGTGTCTCACCACCCTCATAACTTCTTCTTAATATCTAGTCTAAATCTACCCTCTTTTAGTTTAAAACCATTACCCCTTGTCCTATGGCAACAGGCCCTGCTAAAAAGTTTGTCCCCATCTTTCTTATAAACCCCCTTTAAGTACTGAAAGGCCACAATAAGGTCTCTCCAGAACCTTCTCTTCTCCAGCCTGAATTAGCATCGCTTGCCCTTGGGATTTCTTCCCTGTGGTGACTCCTCTGCCAAGGGTTGTCACTCATGCCCTGCCCCTTTCCTGGGATGTTTGAGGGGATAGGGGACACTGGGGCCTTCTCCTGCACATTGCTGTGGTGGAGGTCCTCTACCTGCCTTAGCTGCTTTTGTGGTGTGCATAAAGCACCCGGTGATTTCTGGAAAGCACTGCATAAGAAGCTGGATACTTTTATTATTTTTGGGTGGTGAAATTAAATTTTCAGTCTGATGTCCTGTTGATGTAAATATTTATGGCAGTTTACTTTTCGTTAAATTAAACTAATCCTTGTTACTCCAAGGCGACCCTAAAATAATAGTCTATTCTGCATTGCTTAATTTCCCCCAAGAGCTTTAACCAGCCATGAGTGTATGAAACATTATATCAGGTATAGCCAGAGAGCTGTCGACAGGGAACATCCACCCACTTTTGCACTGAAGATAAGTGCAGAGAGACTTCATTTGCTTTGATTTTTAAGGAGTTGCGTATATTTCAGCTCTCCCTTTTGGTTTTATTCCTTCTGTTTTTAAAGGATGAGTTGCGTTGGTCACATTTCTGCGGTCAAAATGCTGACGGAGAATAACGATACTGCCAGGTTACCCTTAAAGAGCAGATGTGTGCAAAATGCCTAACTTCTGTCGGGAAAGGGGCCAACAGATGTATAGCAAGCAAAGCACGTGCAATGCTTTGGTGCACCTACAGTTGTATTAGCGTAACGTATAATAAATACATTCACTGGAATAAAGTCTTGTGTGTCCTACTGAAGAGCGAACACTTTCTAAATGGTAACTTGTACACAGAGTGTCTTCAGAGCCGTTGTCCCCCTCAGAGGCACCGCTTTTTCCCTGTTGGTATTACTGGGTTTTCAAGATGCAGGAAAAGCAGGCAGCGTGTCCTGGAGTCTGGTACTTCTTGCACAGGGAGGGCGACGTGCCAGGGCAGCCATTCTGTAGTAGAGCCTTATCTCTGTCTTCCTTTTCCAAGATCAACTTACTTGACACATTCCCAGGTGATAAATGTTCAGTCTACTCACAGCTCTGTTTGTGTGTATAAAGGACAGTGTATTTTACCGCGCTTCCTCGTGCAGTGACTTTCTTGTGCTGGCAGGGGAGGGAGGCTCATTGCTCTGATTGCTCATGTGTAACATTATGTATGTAAATAAGAAAATCTAATCATTTCTGAGTGCTTGAGTTGTGGCAAGAGTGAGAAGCTGGTGAAGTGGAGCCTGCGGCAGTGCTGATGGAAAACCCCAGTAATCAGCAAGATGCGCAGAATTGCCTTCCTTCATGTGTTTTCCCCTTTGCATTTCTCGTGCGGACGTTGAGGCTGAGGGCAGGAGCACTGCTATGAGGGTGATAGGAGTAAAGCGAGTCTCGCCAAACGATGTCCTTAAAAGGTAGAGGTGGTAGTTATTTTTCTCATATTGGAGCAAATTTTGCTGAGTTTGCAGGCATCCAGGGGCCAAGGATCCGAACTGCATCAAGGCTGTCCTTGCCCTTGCTAGATACCACGACGGCAGCTGAGGTTGCTCCCCCTCCGCTGTCGCGCTGCGTCTCTCGCGCTGCGGATGTACAGAGCGAACAGTTCAGTCGACTGGGAAACTTCACCGTGGAAAATCACCAAACCCCAGAGACCTTCCCCTCTTTTCTGCTGGCATCTTTCTGTGCAGACGTTTCTCCTCGCTGTTCTGCATGGCTTGCCTGTGCCTGGAGCTAGGTTACTCCGTGCCAAAGCTGGGGCAGTGACCGAGCCCTCCTCTGCACAGTACCTCTGCATCCGGCTGCTGGTTGGAAGAGCACAGGACAGCAATTATCCAACGCAGTCTTCAGCCTTAATTTCCCTCTTGCCTTGGCCCATCTCTCCGTTTCTTTGCCATGTGTTTCCTTTAGGATCTAGAGGAGCTAATCCTGAGCCTTCTCCTCCCCTTCAGCATGAAGGAGTATCCGCTGTGGGCAGGAGGAATAGGGTCCAGCTGCAGGAGTAGCAGGGCAGTGAGCTGGGTGCCACAGCGGGAGCCGTTACGAGCTCCTGGAGGCAGCCAAAAAAAGTATAAAGCTGAGAACCCTTAGAACAAGGTGTGGGTGATGGGCACCGTTGCCTTCGCTGCGTCCCCTGGAGCAACAGCAGTGAGGGGTGCAGGTATGAGATGAGTAATGTCTCACGTTGCTCTTGCATTATATGGTCTTTGGCCACATGAGAAGCCCCAGTGGGCAACGCTGTTATTCCCATTTTGCAGGTACGGTCCAAGGAAAACGTGCCAAGGAAAATGTTGCACCTCACTGACCCAGCAAGTTGCCCATCTTTCCCTTCCAGGAGGGAAGCGGTTTCCTGCTCTCTCTTGCCTTTCAAATCAAGGATTTATATAGCTGTATTTGGCAGCACTGAAGGTTCTGCAATTATGTTAATTAGGCATTTTGATTAAAAACCAGCTTTTTGTTACAAAATAAACTTCCTTGTTGAAAAATAGTAGATCTAGAGCAAATCAAGAGAGGAGCTGGATTTCCTGCTGGTTCGTATGCTCTGTGTCTGGGATAATTTAAGATCACTTCAGTTGTTGTGATGTATTTATTCCCCAAAACTATATTATTTTTATTATTATTTACTAGCATCTGTTTGTTAAACATTTAAATATTCCCACACCCAGAGCTTATTATTTCAGGCATTTATTATGTACCCACCCATCAGTGATTTTGGCAGACAGAAAACAGATCATTTTGGCAGACAGAAAACCAAAACAGCCATTCCTTACAATTGCCAACAAAACTATTGTGATCCATTCATCTTTTTAAAAATTGTCGTTCCAATAGAAACCTATGCAGCAAATACACCGTGGTTGCTGATGAGAAGGGAAAACCGTTGATCGTTTACTTGTCTGGTGGAAAATAATTGCTATAGGTAAGGAAAGGAGTGCCGACCTGGTTGTCGCTCCCAGTCTTTCCAGACAACTTCTGTGTTCCCAGGCTGTTCACCCTCAAAACCTAAAAGACAGCTTGAATAGAGGGGTATTTATTTTTTTTTTCACTGCATCACAAAGACTGCCAGACTTGGCTCTGGCAGGCTGCGAGAAGGAATGCATTTCAGAGCAGAGCTTTTCCCACCATGAATGTCTCAGCCCCTTGCTGTCAGCAGGATAGAAATGAGAAGCAATCCTTCTGGTATGAGCTGGCCTGACCCTTTGCGTTTCACCGGAGGGCAAGCACAGAGCTAGTACTGAGCGTGATTGCTGTGTGCTCCCTTGGACAGTCCAGTTTTGAAGGCATTAACTGAGCCTAGCAGGAGATTTGGCTCCTCCATAAAGTTCTGATTCATGCTCCTTGCAAGCTGAAGCTGGGTTGGCCGAGTTCATCTCGGCTTAAAAAACTGCGTTGGCAGGCTGTACAAGTCATGCGTGTTCCAGATCCTGGACAAGTCAGGGAGAAACAGGGGGGTGACCCGGCACTGGTTTTAACATTGTGGTAAGCGTGTGGCCATTGTAATGCGTCCTGTTCACGAGTAGCTTGGTAGCATCCAGCCTTCGGTGCCAGCAATGCCGCGGCTCCTGTGAAGGCTGGCTGTAGGGGCTGAAGCTTGTCGTGGTGCAGAGAAGGGCTGTGTGACTCTCCAGAGTGCTTTTCCCTGTTCCTGCGTTGCTTGCAAAGAGGGTGTGTTGGTATTTGGTTGTGAGAGGAGTTTGGCTTCTGAGTTGCCCTGTGGTCACCTCTTTGATAAGCGAAGGGATTGCATGGACAAGACAAAGCAGATGCTCTCCGTCGGTTTGGTGGTGGGATTGGAAACTCAAGTAGGGACAAAAAGAGACAAGACTTCTCTGCAGTATGGGAGATGTCAGATGGAACTTCAGGAAACAGCATTACCCCCCACCTCACCCCCCCAAAACACAATTTTCCAGATGATTGTATTGCAAAGCAGTGCCAGTTCCCAGTTTTTGGGAAGTGACAGTCCGAAATCCTACTACATACCAGTCCTTTTGATCACCGAGTCTCTACGGGTATCTGTTTCACTGTCTGCTAATGGCTTTTGTCGTTAAATGCCAGAGAAGCCGTTCTCTGTGAAAGCAGCTTGAAGCATTTAGGGACTCATTAGAGTTCAAAGGAAAGAGGCCTGTACCACAAGCCAGAGGGGAGGAAATGGAGTGGCAAGAGGATCCCATTAATGGAGAACAAAAATAAACCCCAGACAGGAAGGAAAATCCTATAGGTCTGACTCAGAGCTGCAGTCCCGACACCGTGGCTTTGAGGACCAGCTCGACACGGGAGCTGCACAGGGAGGAACCCTCTGGCTTGGCTTCTGCCCACACTAGAGCCGGGTGCCCTGAGCAAGCCTGGAGCCTGCCACAAGGTTCCCACCTGCACCGGCAGTCGCAGGGATGTCCGCTTCTCTGGCGAGTGCTGGCGTTTGCCAGTGGGCTTATACACCCGGGACTTGCGTGTCAGCAGACTGTAAGGCATCAGGCACGTACTTTGGTAGGGGCTGCTCCTCTGGCATCACCACGTTGGTGGGAGAAGATGGAGATGCAGTTTGCTGGTAATTGTTTCCCCTTCTCTCTCCTTGAACGTGCTTGCCACTTTAAATGTACTTTGTTCTAATAAGGTGTTTAATCCATGGGAGGGAACGTGCTTCTCTATAGGTAGGTGCTGTTGGTGAGAACAGGATGCATGGAGAGTAGGTCCTGAGAGGGATTCAAAAGAGAGTGTTCCTGGGTGCTGACCTGCTCTTCTCACTCCATCTCTCCTGTTTCAGGAAAGATCCTCTTCCGCCGGAGTCACATCCGCGATGTTGCGGTCAAGCGCCTGATACCTATCGACGAATACTGCAAGGTAAGGGGTGGTTTCTAGTGCCAACCAAAGATGAAGCCACCTTGATCAGGCTCAATCCTGTTTGACTGTCAGTATATAATGGTGTTCTAGTGCTGGGAGAACAGGGAGTTTGAGCTATCCCCCGCTATCAAACCCTTTCTGTGATGAAAACACACCCACTGATTCTCATTTCACTCCCATGATTAATACTGAGGGCTTGGAGGCTTGCAGGGTGGCCCAGCTTCATGCCAGCTTGCACCCTGCTGCTGTGCTTTCCCTTTCTCTTCTCCTTTCTCCAGCTGCAGACCAGAACGAGCTTTCCAGATTGTCTAGAAAGGACCTGGCTGCTGGGCCGTGTTGTCTCTGGTGGGTGGTTTGGAGTGAAACGGTTGCGTGCAGGACTAGGCTTGAAGGACTTGGTTCCTCAGGGAGCTTTTCCTTTCCTATCTATTGGGAACAGACCTGCTGTTTTATGTAGAGGACAGTACTTTCTTGGTGGGATGGTCCCAAAATGGGTCATAAATCTCCTGTTACTGGTTATACAAAACAGTTCCTTGCACAGGGGTAAGATGCCTTGTACCTGCAGAAAATTATTGGAAGTCAACAGAGGTCATCTCATCGTAGAGCCAAAATACAGTTGATTGTCTGTGTCCTTTCCTTGGTAAGGCTGAGACAATTTGCCCCATATTCTTGAAGAATATAAGACTGTGCTTAAGTATGAGGCGAATTATGGTGTTACAGCATTTTTTTTCGGGGAAAAACAAAATACTAAAGTCCACAAAAATATATTTTCACAAAACTAAAGTATGCCACATTTCATCATATCGAAGAAGTGCACTAGTACTTGCAGCAGCCATGAAATGGTCTGGAGGTAGGTCCACTACTTCCAAAATCCAATCTGAATGCTGTTGAAAACATATCCAAAGACCAGAAAACCCAAGGGAGAAGATGGGGAAATGGTAAAATGTCCATCACGCTCCTTAGGTGTGGGAGGTGTAGCAGTGACTATGGCCTAGGATTTTGCATGGTGGGAAAGACTTTGGGTTTTGGCACTCAGCCAGACTTATGGGAGAGATGTTGTGGCTGCAATAACAAGTACAAGGATAAAGGTGAATTAGTAAATGCATCTTGACAGCTCTGCAGTGGGGCTGCATGTGAAAACCACTGCAGACCAGGATAGCAGATGACAGGATAGGGATGGAGATGTAGTGCAAGGTGTGCTTGGACCTATGTGCTCCAAAGAACATGGGGGAAGCTGATGGTGCAAGTAACTGCTTGGCTCCAGCTGGGCGTGATCAGCCCCTTGTCTTCTGACTCACTGAAATGTGCCAGCTACGGATGGACACACACAACCGTAAATTTAATTTTTGGGAAGAAAAAGTCCCTAAGTGATAAGATGCTGCAGCTGTCTCGTTCAGAGTGATGCCATTAATGGCATAAAATATAATGAATCCATTTGACTTAACAACTGGAACATAATGGCTGATGTTATATGACCCACTTAGAGAGTGGCTCTCTCCTCCTCCCTTTAATGCATTACCAAGTAATAAAACATACGCTGTGCCTGGCCTTCCAGTTGTTCCTACTTAACCGTAACGCTGCTGAGCTGAAGGCGGGTGTGGGACCAAAGGCTGCAGAGATGTAGAATGAGCAAGAAGTCATTGAGAGCAAAGAGATGTCCCTCCTGGGCACTTCATGCTGCAGATTGTGGCCACAGGGTCCCAGCACACTCTTACTGCCGTGTTTGTCACTGGAGGTGGACGTTGCACGTGCTTGGAGTGTGGTGGTGCAGAACTGGAATACAAAATCTCTCCTCCAGCTTGGCTGTGCTGTGTGAGAATTGAGGGTTAGGTGAATACGTTGTGAACGAGTTGTCACAGAAAACCACGAAAGAAGGTTTTGGCTTTCTTGCCATCTCCTGTGAGAGAAGTGGGGTGTCTTCGTTCCCTGGGAGAACCTTGGAAAGAAGGTGGGTGAAATTTGGAGTGGAAATAGGCGAGAGGAGCAAGGGAGGGAGCCACTGCTTTCACAAGGCAGTGCTTTTGCTGAAGGGTCTCGTCGCACTGAAAAACGTGGCAATTTAAGGTAAGATGCAAGAAAAGCAGCAAAAGAATCAGAGCAACCAGCTGCCAAATGAGACTTCAGAAGACCATCAGAATGACAAGGAGGGGGAGCAGAGGCCTGAAATTTCTTCCAATTTCTCCTGTTTTTTCTTTTTGTGTTCTACATCTGTTGGTCTTTCCTCTGGTGTGGGGACTGCCTTCCACCTGTCTTAAGGGATTTTGAGAAAGCGTTAGTTGGAGGGTTGATGAAGGAATTGTGATGATGTGATGCTCTACCCCAATGAGACTGGGTGGACCGCTAAAAAAATTGCTGCTGGAGAATAATCCTTTCTCACTCCCTGGAAAATGAATTTCAATGCAACAGGGCTTGTCTGTCTTTGGTAAACGACCTTTCTCCTCAGACGTGCGGGCATCAGGGCAGGTGAGGTGACTTGCTGTGGCTCCCAACACCATGGGCTGAAGCCATGTACTGAAGGCCCTCCGCAGTTCACTCCTTTGGGTGGCAGGGCCAAAGGTGGGACAGGTGTCATACTATTTGTGCCACTATTTCTGATTTGGTGGCCATAGCTGCTGTAGACCATGGCCAACTAGACTGCAGGGCATCTTTCTTGACTCAGCCATCGCTCTGCAAGCTGAGTCAGCCCTAGGTGGGCTTCCTTCAAGATGTCCTGAGAGATGAGCTGTGGGTCTTACCTTTCATCCTTCCAGCACAGGGTGTTTTCTGTGATCATCCCCTGCTGTCACAGGACATGGAGCCTTCTCCAGGCCACAAAAATCAGAATGATTTTGGCATGGGGGAAATTGTGTAGATCATGGGATGCCTGGAACTGGGGAGTGGTACCCACATGGGAATGGCATGCATGCAAAACTTGGTCTTTGAATAGCCCTTCCCTGGACCCAAAAGCCATCGAGTGAGTAGTTTTCTCTCTCCTGTCTCTCACATGATCGTGATCACAGCTGGCCTGTGATTAGTGGTCTGACTGCTGTGCTGGCAGTGAGTGACTGTGCGCTGAATGGCTGGAAGGGCTTTTGGGGGCCAGCAATTAGGTCAATATGGAGCCACATCTGATCTCTGTGGTAACCCTGGGGCTTTGCAGATGTGGCATTGTCTCCAATACAGAAGTGAGTGGAGGTTTGGTTTGCCCACACTGCTGTCACGAGACTGCTGTGACAGCAAATGGAGGGGAGAGGGAATTATATAGAAAATTGGTTAAACATCTGCTCCAGGTCGGGCTGCAGCACTGCTCCCTGATTTCAAATTGTCCCTTTTTTCTATTGCATGGTGGTTTTTCTTTACATTTTTGCAGTCGCCATCGTCTGTGACTCCATTCCCTCCCATGAGCAGAGAGCAGGGCAGGGCTCTGCCCAGCCGCTGCCCATCCCGCCTCCCCTGCCCAGCCCTCGCTGCAGTCCACGTTGGAAAGGACCTACAAGAGCTCTGGCCCAAAGCGAATATTGCTGTCCCAGACTCTGCCCCCAGCTCCCACAGACATGCACACTCTCACCCTGCGAGTCTCACCGTTGGAACTTGTCTTTTTGCAACAGGCGTCCTCAAAGGGAAAGGAGAAAAGCAGAGGCAGTTGATAGCTCCTGCCGTTCGACAGCACGCGTAGCAACCTTCCAGCCCTTGCCCTGACGAGCTGGCGTCCCTGCCTTTGCCTCTTGTTGCTTCTCTCCCTGCCTCTTACCGAGCTGCCGTTACCCAGTGAAGCATTTTTGGGATGCGCTGGTCAGGATCGATGGCACTGAGAGTCTGCCACATGTAAAGTGCCCAACCTTTCCCGGGGATGACAGCCCCATGCCCACAGCACAGCTGTGGGAAACTGAGCCCTGCTGTGGCCGGGAGGCTGGATGCTGGGATGGATGTCCCTGTGGCTCTTACCCTGCGAGGACACATCAGTCCAAAAGGCCGGAGCTGGGCTAAGCAGGGCCCGGGCAGTCTCTGCTTATCCTCCTTTAGTCTTCAGTTGCAGCTGGGGTGGTGTGGTGGGTGTCACTGGGGGCTGTCTGGGTCTTGCTCCGCTCCAGTGTGTGTTTGCAGTAGCTCTCTCCAGCCTGGCTCTGCGCTCCTGTCTGCTGGGAGCTACGTGGGTGCCGAGCTCCTCATGCCGTGACCCAGTCCCCTGCGCTCCCCAGGGCCTGTCCTCACTCACCCCCTTGCTCAGTCTTGAGGCTTCCCATCACCAGTGTCTCTGTTTCATCTGCAGGCCCTGATCCAGCTGCCTCCCTACATCTCCCAGTGTGAAGAGGTTCTCCAGTTCTTCGAGACACGACCTGACGACTTGACGCCCCCCAAAGAGTAAGTTGGTTGGGTGTCTGCCACCACCAGGATGGCGATGAAACACAAACTGCCTTGAGCTTGCTGGTATCCATGAGTCTGACATTCACCAATGGTGCCCCCGCAAGTCACAGATCTGTGATTTGGGGGTTTTCTTGCAGAGGTAACAGGGGCTGTGCAGCTCGAGGTAGACACCTCTGCCCACTCTGATGGCTCCTGGTGTAACCTCCAGTGGGGAAGTGGAAACACTTCTCTGGGACCCCATGAAGTGTTGGTCTCCTCCCGAGCCACTTTCTACTCGCAAATGCTGGTTTCAGAAACATGGTCAGTCTGAAAAGCCTCATTTCACATGGTTACCAACATCCTCCACCTTGTTGGAAAGGCGCTTTCCCTTAGCCACGTCCATGAGCCCCATCATAACAATGCTCCGGAGTCTTTCCATGCAAAACAAGGAACGTTTGCAAGGAATCTCGCGTGCCTTACGCAACTCTGTGTGGTTATAAGTCTTGTGACTATGAGCTGCTTTGGCCAGGAGCCACCCATCTCTTACTAATCACAAGCAGCATAAATCTGAGCAGCCGCCTCCATCTCCTGCTATGCTGCTCTCTTTATGCTGCATGTGACACGATGCGCGGCTCTACCAAAGGTTGAGCAATGGAGGAGGCTTGATTAATTGTGAGAGGAAAGGCAGTAAATTGATTTGACATCATTCTGTATTGGAAGGGTGTGGAGGGAGATACAGGGATTTTGTTTTTCTCCTCTGAGCAGCAACACCGAGCCTTTCAGATCTCCAGCTAAGTATTACGCTTCTGTGGACTATATATTCTTCCTGCGTTTTCAATTTTTTTCATTCGCTCTCCTAATTCCCCCTTCCCC